ATATATCTATGTATATCTATATTATATTTATATATTCTACACATATATATGTATATATATATATATCTATGTATATCTATATTATATTTATATATTCTACACATATATATGTATATATATTTATCCATGTATATCTATATTATATTTATATATTCTACAGTATATATACATATATATAAATAGGTACATATAGATTATTATATTTATATATTCTACACATATATATGTATATATATATATATATAAATGCAAGTGTACCCATTCTGTAATTCAATTTTAAAATTTATAAAATTCCGTCTTTTGTTTATTTAATGCATCTGTTTGCATGCATTGATGCGGACAACTGGGCATTTAAATGTGTAAGTAGAGAGAAATGTAAAAAGTTGTGCTGCTGCCTAAACCCCAAACCCTAAACCCTAAAGCTTGTCTTTGGTGTTTTGCTTCTAGGGTTTAGGGCTCAGGGCTCCCTACTCCTCTGTCTAGGGTTTAGGGTTTACTCCTTTCGCTGCTGTCTTGCTTCTACAAAAGTAAAACCTTAAAATTAAATTTAATATAAAATTAAATTTAATAAAGAAGTAAAATTGACATCATGTAAAGTCCTTATCCAGTTCGGTGTACGTACACTCTAGCAAAAGCGTTTTAACTCGTTTTCTTAAGTGCTTTTCCAAAAAAGCAAAAAATAAAAACCTTTTTAATTCAAAAGGCTGGCTAGAGCTTTCCGCGGTGTATGTACAGCTCGATTTGCAAAAAACCATTTTCAGTTGTTTCAGATTTTTCTTTTGCCTCAATTAGAGGCCTCAGGATTTATTTTTTTTTCCAATAAATCTTCTAGACTATTTTGTTTTCATCAAGACGGAATATGAATGCATTTGTTCATAAATGCAAATATTGTTTTTTTTATATTTCAATATGGGTAGATAAATATGCTTTTGTATGCATCACTTGTGTTTACATTATATGTATGTATATATGTTGTATATACATATATATATTATATATATACACGATATATATACATAGATAATGTGTATATACATATATATTTGTGTAATATACATATGTACACGATTTATAGATGAATATATATATATATATGTATGTATGTATATATATTAACCTGAAATTTACAAACTCATCTGTTTATATATATATGCTTCTATATTGCTTTCAAATGTAAAGTTTAGTTCTAAAGTTCTTCGAATTCTACGCATTTGTACGTACACTGCGTACACCGTAATTATATGACTCTACTTTGCATACAGATATGTATTTCCTGCGCTTTATTTTCTCAAAACAAATGAAAGTAAAAATAAATATTATTAATGAATAATATTTATAAGGAATTAATTGCTTTGTTGTCATCTGATCATTTGTACTTGTGGAAGAAAAAATAAATATTATTAATGAATAATATTTATAATTGATTAATTGATTTATTGTCACTTAATCATTTGTACTTTATCAGCCACTGCACACATTCACTTTTGCATTTAAAATTGCATTTTCCTTTTTAATATCTTCTTGATGTTCTTCAGCCAGAAGTTTAAATTTAAAAAAACATCCAAATGCGCAATTTGGGGATACTTACAAAACATCGAAGTCTGCAACTTTTGGGGTTTTTGAAGATTTGGGGTTTTTGAAGTCTAAAATGCCAAATTCCGGGAAATTTGAAATGAACTAAATATACAACTTTAGAATGTTTGCAAACTCATCCACAAATTTGCAATTTTGGGATTCCCACAAATGCACAAACTCGCATTTTCGGGGCCTTTGTAAATTTGTAAATGTTTAATTTCGGGATTGTTTAATTGCCCAACTTGGGAATATTTATGAAGTCCTAAATGCACAGCTTTTGGGCATTTGTAAGTGCAGAAATGCATAATTCCGGGGTAATTTCTAGTTTACAAATGCCCAAATTCGGGATATTTATAAGAGTCCCAAATGCATAACTCCTAACTTCAGGACATCTATGAAGTCCTAAGTTCCCAATCTGGAGACATTTGTAAGAGCCTAAAAGCCTAACTTCAGGATATTCATATACTGAAGTTCTAAATGCCCAACTTTGGGATATGTAAGAAGGCCAAAATGCCCAAAAAGCCAAAACCCCGGGACTTTGGAGTGAAATTGGACAGCAAAGAAGGCCAGATAAGTGAACAAAACAAGAGTTTATATTTGTTAGTTTGGCTGCAGCAGCTGCGGGGGCTAAAAAACCCCAAAGCCGCCAAAAAGACCCCAATGCATGCATGCAGGGGCTGTGGGTATTCGGCGTTGTGGGGTGTACATACACCCGAACTGGCCGCCCGCCGCTCCTCCACGCGTCGAATGAAGTGCATTTATTCGGAAACAAACATGAAACAAATATACTTTTAAATGCATTATTCTCAAATATATTTATTGCATGCTTGTCTGAAAAGACATATAGACACAAAAGCCATTAATTTCTGTAAAGGTTGCAGATTGCGCATTTCTCCTCCTCCGCCAACGCTGTTCCTTTATTATCGATTCTTTTCGTTTCTTTTCTCAACAATTAAGCAATTATAATAATAATATTAAAATTAATAATAATAGTGGTGAAAATAAGGGTGAATGACAGTGCGGGTGATAGTGGAAGAACAGCAGCCGAGGCGACTAGGCTGCTGCTGCTGCTGCTGCTGCTGCTGCAGCAGCGGGGGCAGCTTGGCTTGGCCGAGCGAGTTGGACCGACGAATTAAATGGCCATTTCAAACATTTGAAAGAATGAAACATTTCAAACATTTGAAAGAAAGAAACAATTCAAACATTTGAAAGAACTAAGGGAACCAACTAGAGCTCGTCCTTGACGTTCTCCCCGAAGTCGAAGCTGGAGAGCAGGTCGTCTGCTGCGCCCCCCTCCTCGCCGCCGCTGCTGCTGCTGCTGCTGCTGCTGCTGCTGCTGCTGCTGCTGTCGGGCTCGGGGTCCTCGGGGATCTCGAAGTCCTCGTTGATGGGATCGTTGGGATCGACTCCAAGTTCAGCAGCAAAGCTTTTGTACAGCAACTCCGCCAACTCATCGGGTTTATCAACATCAAATCCGGAGGCCAGCAGCGCAGCTTCGAAGAGTTTCTCAGCGAGCTGTTCGTCCTCGCGCTGCTGCTGCTGCAGCTGCTGCTGCCGCTGCTGCTGCTCCTCCCCCTCCCCCTCCTGCTGCTGCTGCTGCTGCTGCTGCTGCTGGCGCGCCAGCAGCTGCTGCATGATGCGGTGGTTGGGGTTTATTTCGAAGACCTTTTGTCCCTTCATCATTTTCAAATGCAGAGGATCTGCAAAGGTTTGGGTCTTCATCACTTTTTCCATTTGCGCAGAATAACCCCACTGAGAAGCAGCAACAGCACAAGGGGCCCCCCACAAACGCCCCGAAACCCTCACTTGCGAAACCCTAGGCCCCAAAACCCTTTTGAAAAACACTTTTAAGGGTTTGAAGAACTTCTCCTGCGCAGCCAGCCGCGCACGCTCTGCAGCGCTTTCCTCCAAGTGCACTTCGCCCTTCTGCACAGACTCGAACTTCTTTCCTGAAATAAATAAACAAATAAATAAATAAATAAATAAATAAATAAATAAATTATTTATTTATTTATTTAGTTTATGGAGTTGTTTTGCTGTTGGGTTTTTGTTCCCGTTTGTTTGGTGGGAGGGGGAGCCGGTTCCACCCCAAACCCTAAACCCTAAACCCTAAACAACAGCGCGCTTCCACCCCAAACCCTAAACCCTAAACCCTCGTGGAGGCGACGACGCCTAAAACCCTAAACCCTAAACCCTAAACCCTAAACAACAGCAAGCCCCAGACCAAACCCCAAACTCCAACACCCCTCCACCCACCACCCCCCAAACCCCAAACCCTAAACCCTAAACCCTAAACCCTAAACCCTAAACCCTGCGGACCGTCGAACTCCATGAGGCGCTGAATGCAGGGTTCGTCCATGGCGTCGAGGAGGAAAAGAACTTCGACATCTTTTTTCAAAAAGTGCTGCATTTGTGGCAGCTTAAGAAGCTGCTGCGGGTCTTCTCCTGCAGCATAATAAATGGCTTGTTGGCCGGGCTGCATGCGAGCGACGTACTCCTCGAGGAAGATCTGCTGCCGCGGCTGCTGCTGCTGCTGCTGCTGCTGCTGCTGCTGCTGCAGCTTGCTGCTGCTGAAGCGCAGCAGCTTGGCCACTTTGCTGCGGTTGTCTTCGTCTTCGTAGCAACCCAAAACCATATTTCTCCCGAACTCTTTGTAGAACTTGTCGAACAAAGTGGGTTCTTTCATTTCCTTCTTGAGCTTCTCCAGCTCTTGCTGCTGCTGCTGCTGCTGCTGTTCTTCCTGCTGCTGCTGCTGCTGCTGCTCCCCCTGCTGCAGCAGCTGCTGCAGCTGCTGCTGCTGCTGCTCGCGCAGCTTCCGGTCTTCCACCGCGAGTTTGCGGAAGCTCTCCAGCGCCTTGCGGACCAGCTTCTTGCCCAGCAGCAGCAGCAGCCGCTGCTGCTGCAGCAGCTCGCGAGAAACATTTAGCGGAAGATCATTTGTGTCGACAACTCCGCGCAAAAAGCGCAAATAGCGCGGCAGCAGCTCATCGAGAGCCCCCCCCACGAGCACGCGGTGTACGTACAGCTGGAGGCCCCGCTGCTTCTCAAAGACACTCGAAAACAAATCTGCTGCTGCTTGCTGCGGCACGAACAGCAGCGCGCGGAACTCGACTTCGCCTTCAGCAGCAAAATGAATCTGCAGCAAAGGCTCGCTCCAGTCTCCGCTCAGGGCCTTGTAGAAGGCTTTGTATTCTGCTGCTGTCACTTCTTTGCTGCTGCGCAGCCACAGGGCCTTCTGCTCGTTCGCCCGCTCCCAACGCCATACTTCACGCTCCACCTTCTGCTGCAGCAGCAGCAGCAGCAGCAGCAGCAGCAGCAGGAACTTCTTCAGTGAGAGTTTCTCGGACTTTGACGTAAATGGGAAAAGAAAGAAACTGCGCATATCGAGCAGCAAGTTCTTTGAGGCGCTGCGGCAGCAAAAACTCTGTTGCGTCTTCCTTGAGGTGCAGCAAGACACAAGTCCCTCTTTTGAGGTTTGCTGCTGCAGCAGCAGGAGCTTCGGCCAAGTAGTACTTTGCGTCTGCTGTTGACTCCCAGATGTAGGCCTTGCCCTCCTCCCCGCTGCTGCTGCTGCTGCTGCTGCTGCTGCTGCTGCTGCTGCTGCGGGAGATGACGGTGACGCGGTCGGCGACGAGGAACGCGGAGTAGAAGCCCACGCCGAACTGGCCCACGAGGTTCATGCTGCTGCTGCTGCTGCTGCTGCTGCTGCTGCTGCTGCTGCTGCTGCTGCTGCTGGCGAGAGACTCGAGGAAGTTCATTGTCCCCGACTTCGCCACTGTCCCCAAATTCGTTATCAACTCCTGCTTCGTCATTCCAATTCCGGAGTCGCAAATGGAGACAATTTTTTGCTGCGGGTCGGACTCGATGTACACGGCCAGCTCCTCGCTGCTGCTGCTGCTGCTGCTGCTGCTGCTGCTGCTGCTGCTGCTGGGGGCGGTGAGGGCGGAGAAGCGCTGCTTCTCCAAAGCGTCCACTGCGTTGGATATCAACTCCCGCAAAAAGACTTCTCTTTGGCTGTACAAAGAATTCACTATTATGTCCATTAAACGAGTTACTTCAGCTTGGTACTCATGGGTTTCTTGCTGCCCCTCAGAGTCAACTCTCAGCTTCGCAAGCTCTGCGAGGGGCCCCTGGGGGGCCCCCTGGGGGCCCCCCTCTGCTGCTGCTGCTGCTGCTGCTGCTGCGGGTTCTGCTGCAGCGGGTTCTGCTGCGGCGGCCTCGGAGGCGCTCGCGGGGTCCGCTGCTGCGCTGCAGCGCAGCAGCAACAGACCCAGGAAGCAAAACGGAACCACCCGCCCGAGAGCCATCTTCAGAATGCTGGAAACAGTCGCAGCACTCCGCCTGCTGCTGCTGCTGCTGCTGCTGCTGCTGCTGCTCCCGGAGCCGCTGCTGCTGCTGCCACGGGATGCTTCGCGCCGCTACGGAGAGACAGCCTGCAGCAGAGAAACGAAAAGCAAAAACAAACGCAAAGTTCCAACAAAAAAAGAAATGAAGTGCTGCAGTGCAGCGCAGCAGCAGCAGAGCGGCGGGCGCGCGGGAGCTGCCGATACACCGCAGCGGGGAGAGGCGCCTCGCCGGGTGTCTGTACAGCTGCCGAGTTTTTCGAGTTTTGTTCGTCTTCAGAAACAAAAAGAATACCAAAATGCAGCAAATTGAAAGTCCAATGCAGCGCAGACAAAGAGAGACAAATCCCGAGACAAGCGCCACCCCAGCGACACAAATAAGACAAAAAAAAAGAAATCCAAAACACCCCCCCACGCACCTCTTTCGCAGCTGCGCCCGCCTCACTCTGCCGTTCGTACACCTCAAATTGCACAACAAAAGACAGAAACTGCAAATGCTGCAACTGTGGCGCTCCCTGAGCAGCAGCAGCAGCAGCAGCAGCAGCAGCAGCAGCAGCGTCTGCTGTGTAGCGGCTGTTGTGGCTGCTGCTGCTGCACACGATGCCGCTGCTGCCGCTGCGGCTGCTGCCGCTGCTGCTGCGCAAAGTCTCCTTTAGGCCGCCAACGAGCCTTCTCTAATTCAAAAAATTAATTTATTTTACTTTTCAATTTTGCTTTCTAAACAGCAGCAAGAAATTACTGCTGCAGCTCCCTCGGCTGCTGCTGCTGCTCCTGCTGCTCCTGCCCCTGCACCAGCGGGAGGCTAGTGCAGCAGCAGCGGCGACGCAGCAGCAGCAGCAGCAGCGGCTGGAGCAGCAGCAGCAACTGCAGCAGCAATTGCTTCTCGTTCTCTTAGCTTTTTCGTATTTCCTGTTTATCAACTTTTGCTGTTATACACCCCCGTCACACAGAACGATCCCTGAGGAACCGCTCCAGCAGCAGCAGCAGCAGCAGCAGCAGCTAGGACAGCAGCAGCAGCAGCAGCAGCAACAGCAGCGGCAGACGGGTTGCTTTTGATTTTGTTTGGTAATTGAGGGGAGGGGACGCGCTCCTGCCCGAATATTGGGCAGCAGCAGCAGCAGCTGCAGCAGCAGCAGGTGGAGCGCCAGCCGCAGCAGGTGGAGCAGCAGCAGCAGCAGCAGCAGCAGCAGCAGCAGCGGGAGCGAGGCGGGGAGGAGCCGGAAGGCAAACACACCAACCAAGCCTAAGAGGCACGCCGAGCAGCAGCAGCAGCAGCAGCAGCAGCAGCAGCAGGGAAGTGCAACAGAGACAGAAGAACAGCAGCAGCAGCAGCAGCAGCGGGAGAAGCAGCAATTCAGAAGGGAGACAAAAGCCAGCAGCAGAACGAGACAGAGATGGGCATCTCTTGTCTCTCTTTTGTCTCTTCTTTGCCCCCCGTTCTTAAGATGCTTGCAGCAGCAGCAGCAGCAGCAGCAACAGCAGCAGCAGCAGCACGAGACGCCGACCAGTTCCGCTTACTCGCCCTCGCAAACCCTAAACCCTAAACCCTAATCAGGTGGCTGTACACCACAGCGCTCTTTAGTTGTTCTTTGTCGTTTTCGCGCGCCGAGAGGGAGCAGCAGCAGCAGCAGCAGCAGCAGCAGCAGCAAAGACTGCAGCAGCAAAGGACTCTGCAGCAGCAACTGTGCAGCCGCACGGAGGGACACTGCAGCGGCAAAGGAAGCTGCAGCGGCAGCAGCAAGTGCAGCAGCAGCAGCAGCAGCAAGAGTTGCCTTGCTGCAGTTGTGGAGAGCTGCCTAGACACCCGAGTTTGTCTCTCTTTCGGGTGTACGTACACCTCAGCTAGAGGTGCCTGTACACCGGAAACTTGGGATCTTTGAGGTGTCTGTACACCTGGAGATTGTAACTCTCTGAGGTGTACGTACACCCGAACCCTGTGGCAGTTTGAGGTGTCTGTACACCCCATTCCCGTGGCAGTTTGAGGTGTCTGTACACCCCAATCCCGTGGCAGTTTGAGGTGTCTGTACACCCCAATCCCGTGGCTTTCTGAGGTGTCTGTACACTCCAATTCGGTGGCTTTCTGAGGTGTCTGTACACTCCAATTCGGTGGCTTTCTGAGGTGTCTGTACACCCCAGTTCCGTGGCAGTTGAGGTGTCTGTCCAGTTCGGCGCTGAGTTTGCGGTGTCTGTACACCTGAATTCCGCGGCAGGTCGAGGTGTCTGTACACCTCAACTTGGCGGCAGTTTCCGGTGTCTGTACACCTGAGCTCCTTGAGTTTGAGGTGTCTGTACACCCGAGTTCCTTGAGTTTGAGGTGTCTGTACACCTGAATTCTCTTGACTTCAGGTGTCTGTACACCTGAGTTCTTGACTTCAGGTGTCTGTACACCTGAGTTCTCGTCTCTCGTTCTGCCCTTCTTCCTCCGCGGTGTCTGTACACCTCAGCAGCCGCCTCTGCGGTGTCTGTACAGCCCGTGAACTCGGGCGAGAGCCAGGAGGTGTGGGGCGTGGGGTGTCTGTACACCTCAAGTCCGTGGCTTGGGGTGTCTGTACACCCGAAGTGTGGGGCGTGGAGTGTCGGTACACCCGAAGTGTGGGGCGTGGAGTGTCTGTACACCTGAAGTGTGGGGCGTGGAGTGTCTGTACACCCGAAGAGTGGGGCTTGCAGTGTCTGTACACCTGAAGAGTGGGGCTTGCAGTGTCTGTACACCCGAAGAGTGGGGCTTGGAGTGTCTGCACACCTGAGTGTGGGGCGTGGGGTGTCTGTACACCCGAAGTGTGGGGTGTGGGGCGCGGGGTGTCTGTACACCGGAGATGCACTTCGTGGAGTGCGCCGCGCTGGCGCGGCCGAACTTTTTGCTGCAGCAGCTGCTGATTGGGGATCGGGTTTTTGTGGGGCGTTTGGAGTTGTTGGGGATCGACCGGGATCGGGATCGGCAGCAGACGGAGGCCTTGCGGGCTTTGATAGAGTTGCAGTTGACTTCTTCGCCGCTGTTTGCTGCTCCCGCGCAGCCCCCGCTGCTGCTGTCCCCTGCTGCTGCTGCTGCCAGCAGCAGCAGCAGCAGCAGCAGCAGCAGCAGGAGGCACCGGCAGCAGGACTTCAGGGGCTGCTCCGCCAAGGGCAAGGAAACCCTCGTCAACCTCATCGCCACTCTCAACCAGTGCTTCCCCGACTACGAATTCAGGTCTGCTGCTGCTGCTGCTGCTGCTGCTGCTGCTGCTGCTGCACTTCGTGCTGGTGCTGCTGCTGCATTGCCTGCTGCTGTTGCCGCTGCGCTCGGTCGTGGCGGTGTGGCTCTCCTTGCTGCTGTTATTCCTCTTGTGGATGCTGCTGCTGTTGCCCGTGTTGTTGCGCGTGTTGTCGCTGCTGCTGCTGCTGCTGCTGCTGCTGCTGTTCCTCTTGCTGCTGCTGCTGCTGCTGCCACCTCAAGTGCCCTTTCTCTATTCGCCTCTTAATATTTTCTGTTTTCTGCTGACAAGATTAAGATTTGGACTGCACTTCGCCCCTCCAAAGCCTCCCCATATTCTAGGGTTTAGGGTTTAGGGTTTAGGGTTTAGGGTTTAGGGTTTAGGGTTTGCGCGCAGCAGCACGCTAACCCCCGCGATGTTCAGAGAAGAAGAAAGTGTGGCGGAGGCCCAGGGAGACATTAATGAAAAGCTGCGGGCCGTCGAGCAGCTGCTGCCGGGATTCATCAACGAACTCTGGACAGCCATCGAGGTGCTGCTGCTGCTGCTGCTGCTGCTGCTGCTGCTGCTAGTGTTGCTGCTAGTGCTGCTGCTAGCGTTGCTGCTGCTGCTGCTGCTAGTGTTGCTGCTGCTGCTGCTACTGTTGCTGCTAGTGCTGCTGCTGCTACTGTTGCTGCTAGTGCTGCTGCTGCTACTGTTGCTGCTAGTGCTGCTGCTGTTACTGTTGCTGCTAGTGCTGCTGCTGTTACTGTTGCTGCTAGTGCTGCTGCTGTTACTGTTGCTGCTAGTGCTGCTCCTGGTGTTGCTGCTAGTGCTGCTCATGCTCGTGCTGCTAATGCTGTTGCAGTTGGTGGTGGTGGTGGCGATGCAGCTGCCGCTGCTGTGTTGCTGCTGCTGCTGTGCCGGCGTCCCCGCTGCTGCTGCTGCTGCTGCTGCTGCTGCTGTTTCTTGGCAGTTGGTGGTAGTGGAAATAAACAAGCAGCACAGAATAGTAACTGTGATCAGTTGTGAATCTGCTTCGCCGTTTGCTGCTGCTGCTGCTGCTGCTGCTGCTGCTGCTGCTGCAGTCGGCGGTGTGTCTGAGCAGCTGCGCGGTGTACAGCCACTCGGCGGCTGGGAGCGGGGAGGCTTCTGCGTTGGGGTGTCTGTGGAGCTGTTTGCTGCCGCCTTCTGCTGCTGCTGCTGCTGCTGCTGCTGCTGACGGGGGCTTTTGTCTTTCTTCTTTTGCCTACTTCTTCGTCGAGAAGCAAAGAGACAGAGTCCTCTTCTTCGCCTGCTGCAGCAGCAGCAAACTCAGCAGCCCCAGCTGGCTGGGGGCCCTCGACAGCTGCCCACTCCAGGACCAAGACGACTCCGAAGAAGTCCAGCTAGGCAAGGCCTGCTGCTGCTGCTGCTGCTGCTGCTGCTGCTGCTGCTGTTGGTGGTGGTGGTGGTGCTGCTGCTGTTGTGGTGGTGGTGCTGCTGCTGTTGTGGTGGTGGTGTAGCTGCTGTTGTGGCGGTGCTGCTGCTGCTGTGGTGGTGCTGCTGCTGCTGGTGTTGTTGTTCTGTCGCTGCTGCTGCTGGTGTTGTTGTTGTGTCGCTGCTGCTGCTGCAGCTGCTCATGGTGGTGGTGCTGCTGTTGCTGTTGGTGCACATCTGCTGCTGCTGCTGCTGCTGCTGCTGCTGCAGGTGAAGTTTATAGGAGCGAGGGTTTGTTTCAAGCCGATGCAGAAGAAGCGGATAGCCTGTCGGACTTGGAACTGCCTTCCTCAGCGTTTGCTTACTCGTAAACCCTAATTT